AAAATAAAATAAAATAAAATAAAATAAAATAAAATAAAATAAAATAAAATTAAATTAAATTAAATTAAATTAAATTAAATTAAATATAATATAATATAATATAATAAAATAGAACAAAAAATAATAAAAATTAAATTAAATTAAGTTATAGTTATAAACTTAAAAATATAAAATCAAATAAAATAAAATATGATATAACAATATATAATAAAACAAAATAAAATCGAGATATGGAACAATATAAATCATAATTAAATTTATTAAAAAAAAATAAATAAAAAATACATATATAACATATAACATAAAAAAACAACTCAGCCACTAAAACAAAATTTATATTGAGAATAAAAAAAAACTTAGATATATTTCATTAAAATAAAATAGAATAAATAAGGTAAACATTAAAAATTAAATAACATAAAATATAGCATAGGAAAATCAAATTAAAAGATAACGACAAAAAATTAATAAAAAATAAAATAACCAAAATTTAATTAAAACAAAATAAACTTTGTGACTATGAATAGTTTATTGTACATAAATATATTTGGGTTTTTCCTAAAAACAGCAAAAATGCCGCTTTTGTTGTGGTTAAATTTATCTGAAAAAAAAAAATTATAGAAAATATTTTTGATTTTATCGTATGCAATTTTTAACTTTGTCATCCTGCAATAAGTAGTGATTTCAATATTTGAACCTTCCTTAAGATTATAATTTCTTCACTTTTCTATTTGCAGACATGCAATTTTTCCAATCAAAATGAACACTGGCGAAAGGTGTGGATTTTTTAAATTCTACAAAGCATAAATTAATAGGAAATTTTAAAGGTGGAAAAATTTTTTGTTCTTAAAAACCTCTACGAAAGATATTAAAAACTATTTTCATATACAACAACAAAACAGGACGAAAACAAACAAAGGCAACCAAACTTAAATTAACAGAAAAAAGCTGATAAGAAAAATATTTGTTACAAAAATATGCATAAAAATAACAAAAAAGGTTACAATACTATAACAAAAAAAAATCTAGTAAATATAAATGTTTTCATTAATAAAAGTTTTCAAGGTTAAAGATATAAATTTAAATCAGTAAATGTTAAAATATTTATTGCAAACAAGTGTTAGAACTTTACAATAATTTATAAGAAAATGTGCTTTACCCGCAACTCAATCCCCAAAGGCACATAACACTTATACATATACGGTAAGTACTCGTACTTTTTGTGGTTTGCCCTGTTAATGAGCATCCTTGTTGTTGTTGGCGTACTGATTAAAATTTGTATAAACAAATTGAATTATATTGAAATAATAAATAGAGGGAAAATACATAAAAGGTCGAAATTGCAGCTCGCTAAATGTCTTGGAGCGCAGATACATATGAAGAATGATAAATTATTGAAAGATTTACATAATATGGACGAAGAATAAAAAAAGAGCGATTCAAGTTTGTACTACAAAATAAAACAAAACAAAACTGAGAATTTGCTTTGCGAAGAATTCATGAATACACTTTTACTTATTTCATAGCATTTCATCACAAAATACTTATATACTCGTACATAGTTTATTGTACTAAAAATCATTTTATATTAAAAAAGCAAAATAAATAAATGTAAATGAAAAAGTTCATCTTTTTAAAAAAAGTAAATGAAACCAACTTGTCATCGTTAATTTTTTTTTTATTATTTACTAAATGTAATATTATGAAATTGTGCAATAGTTTACATGTATGTATCTATGTACATATGTACCTATTAATTGAGAGAAATATTGATGAAGCAAATAAAATTTTGTCGTTTTTAATGAAAATATTAGTGTTTTTTTATAACAAATTTAAAAAAATGTAAATTTGATAAGTTCTCTGGACTAGTAGCGGGCAAAGAGAGATTTTACCTCGCGTACGTCTATATCAGTCCCTACCAAAACCCATCCAGTGTTGAAGAAGCTTTTCAAAGTTTATTGTACATTTTATACGACCGCGAACAGAGTAAAGGCTCTACTGTTCATCACTGGCCCATAAAAGGTATATAAAAACTTAAATCACAGAGTCAAGGCAATGCTCATCTTTGGCGTGGATCAGTGGCTACGAATCAATATTATACCAGTGATAATCGGATAGAGCTTTTATTTTGTGCATTTGCATATAAAATAAAAAATTCGTTAAAAAGCTTCTGCTGTGGGATACGTTTTGATCAGCATCGATATAATATATGTATTACTGACTGTCAGTCAGAGTTTCAATCAAAGCTTTAAAAGTTTTCCCCGCGACTGACTATATATTAAATAAAAGTCCGACAATCTAAGAAAATGTGTGGCTCAGAACCCAGCGTGTACGTAATTAAAAGTTTTTCGAAACAATTTAATAAAATATGTAAATTTTATTTTCACATTTCATCAGCATATCCTTTCACAATAAAGATTCTACAGCTTCGAATTCGCATGTATAGCTAGAACACCATCGAACTCAGCGGGGCCCAATTCAATATCAGCATAACTCGAATCGTTGACCACTACGGACTTTCCGGTGCAATTGCCATTCACAAGCCCACCTGAGATTACATCACAGTATACCCCAGCAGGCAAACAAGTATTCAAATGCTGCTTCAAGTCCCAGCTATTCCCATTAAATGCAATAAAGCCGCGCTTGCCACGACAGAAAGCAATCTGATTGTCGTCATTATCCCACCAATTAGTCACTTGAGTGCCGCGTACCGCATTCTTGAAACCCACCATGTTGTAGATTTGGCGCCAACGATGCTCACAAACCCAACCATTCGAGCAAGCGCCATTTTCATCAAATTCAGGTGAAAGTAACTGCTCATTTGTGTCTGCCGGTGGCGCCTGATCGCGGTGCTCAAAGTGAAATGAGCTCATTACGCGCGCAATGCCAAAGGGGTAGGCTAGCATAAAAGCAGTGGCCATTTTGTATTGCTTAGCTATTTTATAAGTAAGTACATTGCCGTCATCGCGCTGATTATCATGATTGTCGACAAAGACCAAGGCATCCTCGGAGGGTAGGAAGCCCCAGGCGATGCCAAAGTTTTGTAACCATTTGAGCTGATTATGACCACGGAAGGCGTTGCCAATTTCCTCCGAAAAGCGGAATTCAGTGACGACGCCAAGTGAATTATACTCATACTTGGTGACCGTTTCGTGACCATGATCGATTACCTCCTGATATATGAAGGGACGCGTATTGCGCGCGAAGCCATGTTCAATGTTGAGATTACGCACGCGATCGTAGATGATCTGTGAATTATATATAAAAGTTAAAAATAGAGGAATGTAAGGAAAAGAGTAAACGAAAATGTTACCTTCAAATCTTTGGCTGGCATATGCTTGGCGGCATCCACACGAAAACCAGCGACGCCTAACTCAACCAAATGATCAAGAAATTCTACGAGACGATCACGCACCCATTCGCTGCTCTGATTCAAGTCCTTCAAACTAACTAGCTCACAATTTTGCACTTGAATACGATCATTCCAATCCAGAATGTCGCAAGTTTTATGGAAGTCATGTGCAGCATAAGGTACAGCTGGGAAATCTTTGGCACCTGGTGACGCCCTAGAGCCACCAGTGCCTTCTACAATACCCTCATGTGTGGCAGCCATATGATTTAGCAAGACATCAACGTAAATGCGTACACCTACATCGTTGCATTTTCGCACCATATCCGCGAACTCGGTTTCATTGCCAGATCGTGTGATCAGCTTGTAGGAAACTGGCTGGTAGCGCTCCCACCATGGCCGACCGGCGATGACCACGTTCTCGGCTGCGGGCGAGACCTATATACAGGTTTTGGGGAAAAATTGTGCCAAAAATTTTATTAAGAAAATGCTATTTCATAAGGTTGTCTGCTCACCTGTACGCCGGCAAACCCTTGCGGTGCTAAGAACCGCTCACACTCTTTGGCTATATCCGTCCACTTCCATTCGAAAAGGTGTACAATAGTATTGCGAATAATCCACCAATGCGGCTCATGTTGGCCTTGAATAGCAGCGCTGAGCGTTAAAAATATTACAGTTAAGTAGCCTAAACTTGTGCTTTTAGTCATCCTTCCGTCCATAAAGAAACGATTCTAGTAGTCTTATCGAACGTAAAGTGCTATCTATGCTGGAATGCTGAGCAGCTTTTATACGAGCCTCTTGCCAAGTAAATTACTATACCTTCGTTATCACTCGCTGGTGATAATAGTAGCATAAAATAAGTTATTCAAATCAAATCAATTAAATACAAAAAATTTCAGATAATCAAATAAGAAGAAAGCACTGTGTCGGCGTTCAGTGTCCAACTAGCTAGCTGGCACACTAAATTGAGAACCTTTCTTAATTGGCTTATAGTAAAAAAAAAACGTCCACAAGCTGTATACTTAGCTTTATTCATTTCAATTCTAAGTACATTTTCAATTATCGTTATCTATAGGGGTTTCCATAGATAGAAGCACTCTTAAGTATTTTAACAATCAACGCAGAAGTGATTTACTTACTAGTATTGATATTACGAATAGAATAACAATACTTACGATTCACCACAATCGGTCTTTCACCACTTGAAACTGGAGTGCCTACTAACTAGTATGTCAAGTTAACAGAAGTCGCACTGAGAAATAGTTGTATACATTTCCAGCTGATTCTTATGTAAAATGATAGCTTAAATCTAAAAATTACGCGTTTTCGTAAACCACGCACCATACAAATTAGAAAATGAATTTTTTTTTTTGTGATAAAATATATTATTTCGAGAACGAAAACGAGAAAAAGTAACGAAATAAATATAACCTTTGATGTGGATAATTCAGGAAAAATATTCTCGATGAAAAAAATTTAATTTTTTTATTTTTTTACCTAAACGAGTATGCAATGAACTTTTTAAAATGCTTGAAACATATTGCAATAGTCACACGACCCGAAAATAATATTTTAAGTTGTTTTAAAAACTTAAACTTTTATTTTTTAAGGTCTGTCAAGATAATTTGAATTACTTACAAAAGAAAAATTTTTTACTTATTTTTTTGACCTAAAAACAGCCTAAAATCAACATAAAAAAAAAACAAAATGGGTTTTTTGGATCTGGCGGCCATGGAAATCAGTTCCTTGACGCAATAACAGGAAAAGTAGTTGTATGTATGCACATTAGGGAGGGTAATTATTTTTACTATGTGCGTATAGCGTAGGTTTCTACCTGTAAATCTAAGCAAATTTTCCGAAGAAACAATGGGCCTAAACAAATTTGAAATTTGCCAAATTGAGAAAATAGGTTTCGAAGAAAATGTGAAATTTTTCACTCTTGCGCCCTCTTTTGTAAGTTTTAAGAAAAAATAAGTACAGAAATGGATTATTCCTACAAAAAAAACCCCTTATAGCATATTTTTTTTTTCAAAATTTAAGCACTTCTTTACGACACTACAGCAAAATGCTAAGAAATGAAGTGAAAGTTCTAACAAATTCCAAATAATACAATATAATTTATTTATTAATTTAATCGTCGCACAAATGGAAAATAAAATTTATATCTGATTTGATTTGTCGGGCATAGAAAAAATTAATTTTATTTTTGATTTGATTTGTCGCGCGGATCAATTTGAATATGTAGTGATTTTCCAACTAAAAACTTTTTGTTTTTTTTTTGGCACCAATAATTGGTTGACCAATCAAATCAGAAAAAAAACTTAATTTTTTAATTTGGTCGATGAATGAAATCACTAATCAAATCGTCGATGTTTTTGTACAACCGCCCAACGACCATTTGCAAAACCGCCTAAAACGCCGTTGTGGCAAAAATGAGATTTGGTAACCTTGAACTCCAGGCATCGAGATTTATGCATACAAATCTTTATTAAAACAACAGATTTATAAAATAATAGCCAGAAAATACCGCCTTTCAACTCAATGCCTTCAAAGAAAACCCGCGTTTTTGCTCTCCTGTAATATTTGAGTGACGTACGTACGATTTTGCAATTGGCCGATGGGCGGTTTTGCAAAAACACCGACGAACAGTGTTGCCGTTTTACTTACACACACATACACATACTTTTTTGGCCACATAAATTTAAAATTGCCCCTAGCCCTTTTTTAGCCCTTTGGAGAATTTATTCATACTGGGCATGAAAAAGTTGTATATGCTTAATTTGATCAATTTTTTGTTTTGCATTCATGTAAGAGATGAATTTTTAAACTAAGAAAGACTGACATACATCTATTGTATGTTAATTACGTTTTTATACATACATACTGTATAAGTGTTAGGGCTGTTTTTTAACTTATCTATTAACGATTTAACCATAGTTTAAAATAGATAAGTTTACCAGTTAGGGCCAGTTTTTCAGTGCCAGTTTAAACTCAGATTAAGTAAACTGGGTTTAAATTGAACAGCTGGCTGACACTTGATTGGCTGATCTTAGTTTAAACCAGCTAGATCGGGCGTTTAAACTTAGTTTGAACCACGGCCGTGCACTGACAAATTGGCCCCTAATATGCTTCATTAGTTAAATGGACCATCAAGTCGATTGACCGTGTATGTTCTTGTGGTGTGATTGTACCAGCTGCTGGTGCGACTTCAAAAATTAATTTGAAAATTTTATGATTGTATTAGTATGCTGGTGTCGTGAGTGGTGAAATTAGCTAAATTTTCTAAGTAAAACATATTTTGGCGGAAATTTCAAAGCCGTGTTTGTGGAATATTAAGTTCAGGATAATGCAGTTGTGAATCAAAAAAAAAAAACAATGTTTAACAAAATGGTAAAAAATTATGAAATTTCGGCTCAAATCATTTCGATCTTTCCTTGATCTCATTTGTAAAGAAATAAATCTTGTACCAGCATGCTGGTAAGTTATATGCTTGGAGCTTGATGGTACAATCACTTGATCGAGCCAGCAAGCTTTTGTCGTATATATCCCTTTTATACGAAAAGGTTTTTGGTTTGATAAAATATTAGCTTTTTCCAGGGTTCATTGTTTTTCTATACCATTACTTATTGAAAATGTTTGCGTGTATACTCATATATGATATAGATTTCTGGTATGCCGAGGGTCGAACGGCTCTTGCTCCGACGACAGACCGAACTTGGCTTATACAGAATGGTAGATAATCACCTACTAAGGACCGTTTACATACAACTTTGGCATGGTGTTGGCGCTGGCGTCGCTTCGACAACTGGCTATGAATACATGCATTTGTATGAAAGTCTCCACATTACCAAAGTTGGGCAACGCCAACGCAAAAGCAAAACAGAAAGATGGCCAACTCTCAACTTTCCGCGTGCGCCGTTCGTCAGGTGTTCAAAATTATCAAAATTATGTAAAATAATTTTCCATTTTAAAAAATTGAGGGCAATAAATGAAATGCCGTTATTATGTTAATTTAGTGAGCAAATTATTCGCTGCTAAGCGTTCATTGTTGCAAGCACGGTCGCACGGGCCAACGCAACGCCAAAGTTATATGTAAACGGGCCTCTAATACTCGACTATGACTGCCGCTGACATTCATACATAAGTATGCACATTTATAGCAATAACTTGAATAGAATATGTATCTAAAATAAATATGTGTTCATATGAATTTACAAATTACTTATAAAAAAATAAATAAAAAACATAAATCTTTGTAAATTAAATATTTAACTTCACTCACCAGCTCTTTTTTGGGTTAGATTGAAAAGCAAAAATCTGTCAGCCGTCTTCAGATTTCCTGCTACGCTATGTTATTCGCACCGCCATATTGACGAATTTCGCTGTGCGTATTAGCCACTTCTTTTACTAAGTACTATTTTACATGCTTACACTGCTCACAACACAAGTTTTGAATTATATTTATTGTAAATATACTTTAAATATACTACACACACTTTTTAAATTGCAACTGCACTTTTTGAATCAATTTAAATAAGAAATTTAATAATTTTGACTAGAACTCACGAACAGACAAACAAGCAACGCGCACTGCTGATGGGTAAAAAACGGCTGAGGATGCGGAATTGCTTGTAATGAGGAAACACAGAGAGGACGGAAACAACATTTTCTATCTAAATTTTATTTTATTGGATTTAGTCTTGACACAAACTCGTATTTCATTCAAATCACCCTTTGATATGATTAAATACATACACTTGCGGTCAACTGATTAAGTCAAGTGACATTTTGATAAGTTGTGGCTATTTTTATTTTGTTTATTTAATATTTATATTTTTTTACAAAAGTTTAGCACTTTACCTAGCCAGCGCCACTTAAATGCATATTTCAAACTTCGTACAAAAATTAGGGAAATTCAACAAACTTTAACACTTCCACCTAAAAATTTTAAACTTTTTATTTAGAATTTTTAGAAAAATTTTGGGTATGCAGTTTTGTAGCTTGTTAAATTTTAGTAGGTTAAAGCGCAAAATTCAAGACGTTAGAAAACGCGATTGTTTTTAACAATTTTTTGCTAATGGTGCTACACATTTTCTCCCATACAAACAAAATTGTCGAAAATAGATGAAAATACATAACATCTTCATTAAAAAAAATATTAAAAATCAACCCGATTTTCTAGCATCATACAATTTGCACTTTAACCTACTAAAATTTAATAAGCTAAAAACTGCATACCCAAAATTTTCTGAATAAAGAGTTTAAAATTTTCGAGCGCACATGTTAAAGTTCATTGAATTTTCATAATTTTCGTAGGAAGTTTGAAGTGTGGATTTATGTGGCGCTGGCTAGGTAAAGCGTTAGACTTTTATAAAAAAAAATATAAAAATTTAATAAACCAAAGAAAAATAGCCAAAAATTGTCAAAATGTCACTTGACTTAATCAGCTGACCACAAGGGTACACACATCTGTATGTACTCGTCAAAGTGTACACGCATATACAAAAACACAAAAACCGAACTTTTGCGCCTCCTCTTTTGTTGGCTGCTTCGCCATCTTGTGAAATATTAGCCTGCCGACAAACATCAAATTTTCTATTCAATAGGCCTGCACTTAGACTTTTCATATTAGGAAGGCGACTAAATATTTTCAATTAAAACACTTTTTAAATAATTGATTCATCACACTAATCATTTGTCAACTAATATATGTATTTAATAAACGTACGAGCAACAGGTTAATTAGACATCCTTCATCCGACTGAGGAAACGGAACAGTTAACAATCGAAACACAGAGAGGAAATACATTCAATTTTAAAACTACCAACGTGAAAGTTCAAAAACAATGTAGCTAAAACACAAACCATCTAATAAAATTTTGCAAAAATTTTTCATAGGGTGGTGTTGCATTAACAGAATTCACTGAGAAATTAAGCATATCAATCCTACTGCGTTTGCACTACTCGTTAGTGTCTTTGCTACAACTAGTTGCAAAAGGAAAATATGAAGCAGTGTGCGGAGCCCAAATGTTTTTTAGTTGTACATAAGCCTTTAAAATTGTGGAAGATTTCAAAACAGTGGATAGATTCCAAAACAGTGGATAGATTTACATATACATATTTATGTATGCATTAGGGCGGCTCAATTTGTATGGGAAATTTTTCCGACTATGCACGTTTAGCACAGAGGGATTCTATGTGTAATCCTAAGAAAATTTGACGAAGAAATAGTGGGTCTAAAATCAATTTGTAGTTTGCTAAATTGCGAAAATAAGTTTCTAAGCATTTTGCTGTAGTGTCGTAAAGTAGTGCTTTAATTTTGTATAAAAATATGCTGTAAATGTTTTTTTTTGTATGAGAAGTCCATTTCCGCACTTATCTTTTTCTCAAAACTTCCACCGGAGGGCCCAAAAGTGAAAATGTTGACAATTTCTTCGAAACCTGTTCGAACACATGCGTATTTTGTTGTTACATATGTAGATATGTCAAAATAATGCACTTTATTCGGAACTATCTTCCACCAGTAATAGTTTTGGAGGGCATTGTTTTCTCCTGAAAAGTATTTATTATTAAATATATTTCATAAATAGCATAATAAGTTTATCGTAGCGTCATTTTAGCGAATACGGTATCACAGATTATCATAGATCGATTTTTATCGATTTAGTTGTCACTATTTTCTCTAGTTTTACTGTTATAAACGCAACCGTAGTGCGACTATCACTCATATAGTTAGTATTTTCTCATAAGGTTGTCAAGGCAATGCTAGTGTATTTAAGTGGACAATGCAAATAATAATTATCCAAAGAGAAAGTACACCTCATGGACTTCAAAACAGTGCTAAGTTATTACAAAAATAGATTTACATAATGTAAAATACGGCACTGTAAAAGACTATGTCTTACTTGTGTAATACTAAATACTATGTCTTAATTGTGTTATAATAATAATAATATGGTGAGAAGTTGTCAGCTTTCAAAGAAATGCTTGTTGGATGTACCACCCATCACAGGCAATTTTTTTTAACCTAACTTTGAAAATACAAAAACTTCCCATAGTTTAAATAAGATAATCTTATAGAAATTGTAATAAATATGCCTATGAAATGAGTAGAGCTCATTTTACTCACGAAATTGCATCAAATATGATAATGCTATTAAAGCATAAAATGGGCATTAAAATTATTTTAGCTACATACCAGAAAGGCGCTTCGAACGAAATATTTATAGTTTGCCTAAAATGGGGAAACGCATCCATCAACTTAGAGAGGAGGGTGTCATCGTTGTCCCTCTCTCCAGTTTGGAAAATGTCACTTTTCTGTGTAAATTATATAATCAAGTTTTATACTTTATTAGTTTCGTAATAATCTGATATCTGGCTTCAAATGTTAAGATTTTGAGACTTTTCCAATAAAGTGTTAAAGAGAAATGACTTTAAGTTTGAGCAAAAACGAGTCAAAATGTCCCACCCGTCACGTTGCAATGCCCCGTTTTCATAAGTCGGACCATTTTGCGCATTCCCGTCTATAGCTAAATATTGATTTCGCTGCTGAATTACATCAATTCACTGATCCTAGCGCCTAGCAAATTTGGCACGTGTTAAAAAGAAAGAGGAATTAATCAGAAAATGGAATGAACAAATTAGAGCCAATGTCGTTTCACAATTGTCTATTCACGATATTTCACAAAATCTATAGAAAATGAACGATGTCAGAATCATCCACGTTAGGTGTGTGTATATTAACTTCTCCAGTAAAAATTGCCGCGGGAGCGTAAAAACAAAATAGGGCGTAAAATTTAGTAGAAAGGAAAACTAGCCGAAAAAGCGATTGAACACGAAACTAGTGAAAACTTGCACGCACTATTTTGATATTCCTGCTGTAATCAACTTATAAATCAGTTTCAAACTCTTTGCTTTACACACAAGCCCTTACAGAGTCCAGTACAACATTTTTGACATTTATTATTTTTCTTCTTCAGCTCTTCTTCTGCTAGCAAATTTCTGAAAGTAAAAATTTCACTAGCAAGAATTTGCAGCTCTCCCGTGTTATTACGCGATTACGATTCAGTGCTCTCTTGCAAATTGTTTGGGTTATCATACAATTTTCCTCAACAATTTTTATGAGCTCGAGGCCGTATTAAGTGCAAACTTATTGTGGAAAAGCAACAATAATTTGAAAAAATTGTAGAAGTGATAGCTATTTCGGAAATCACCACATTTCCTCATCAGACTTCTTTCAGTAGGATTCGAACCGACGATCACCACTGACTCAGCCAGTTCCCTACGCACTGTGCTAAGTTTGTCTTGTGATTTCTTGTTGCTTATTTTCCACTATTTTACTTTTGCTAAGCCAACTACAATCAAGCGCAGCTATTCCGCTGCAATTCACTTGATCAAGCAACAATAATAAGCAACAAGAATTAACAAGACAAACTTAGCACAGTGCGTAGGCAACTGGCTGAGTCAGTGGCGATCGTCGGTTCGAATCCTACTGAAAGAAGTCTGATGAGGAAATGTGGTGATTTCCGAAATAGCTATCATTTCTACCATTTTTTCAAATTATTGTTGCTTTTCCACAATAAGTTTGCATTTAATACGACCTCGAGCTCATAAAAATTGTTGAATATAATTGTTATAAGGCCATAAAAATAACAAAAACAAATACAATTTTCCAGTAAAAATTTGCAAGTTCCAGTACAAACTAGCACTGACTATTTGTTACTATACAAACCTATTGTGAAATGAGCAAAATTATAAAATGGGATAGATTTTAAGCTTACGGTGGTAGATGTGGTAGAAACGGAATTTAGCAAAATTGAAAAAATTGATTGATCTACACAAAAGTGGTAGAGTCCGCACACTGATATGAAGTGATTGTTAATGCACACTCATTTCCTTGCACTCTGTGTTCCTATCGTCTGCAGTTCCGTATCCTCAGTTACATTTAACTTGCCGGCTAGTTTAGTCGTTCGTTTGTCTCTCGTTCGGTACTAGTGAAAAATTTTAATAAACTAATTTAAGTGAAGTGTTTAAGTGTTAATGTGTTTTAATAAGTATTTGTAGTATATCTAAAGTGCATTTGTAATAAATATACATACTAATGTACATATGTATTTATAATTCATAATTTGTGATATGAAAAGAATATAGGTACCTAAATATTTGCATGTCTATGCAAATGGTACTTCCATTTGTTCGTGCATGGTGTTGTTCAATATGCCCAGAGAACATGGCGGCGGAGCTTAGTAAGAAAAAGCTGTCGTGAATCAAGAAATGTGAAAACGGCTGTTAGTTAGCATACGTAAAAAAGATACTAGTTTTTTCGCACGAAATTTGTATATTGCCGCGAAAAAAACGGGTGCCGCAGTATCTCCATTAAAAAAAGCAAGATTTTCAATAGCATAAAAGAACTCCTGGCACTATGTGTGCCTGTTGTATATCCCACTACAGAATGATTCGATATAAAAAAAACCCAGGTAAGTCAAAATCTCTAACTTTGTACAAAAATTAGAAAAAATGGACAAAGTTGCTCAAGGAGAATTTTCGGGTTTGTAGTGCATGCAAAATATTGTTGATTTTAGGTAATATTTTTTGCTGACTGTGGGTGTCACGCATTTTCCTCCATACAAAGATACTGATTTTTCAGTATGGAAGAAAATAATACCATCGGCAAAAGTATATCAATAATCAGCATGAACTGGGCTACAAAACTGCATATTATATAATATAATTAAATATAAATTAAATTATATATATATTATATATATATTATATATATATGTGACCTGGTCTACGAAAAGGGAGCTTACGTGCGAAAACTAGTTTTCTGTGAAAAAGCTGTTAAAAGTGAAAAGCATCTCATCTTCCATCCGAATCAACCAAAAAGTGAAAATTGATTTTTTGACACCTAAGCCCCCTTTCCGTAGACCAGGTCACATATATTATATTATATATTATAATTAAATATAATATAATTATATAATTAAATTTTCCGAGTTTTGCACAAAGTTTAGAGATTTCATTGTTATGTTTTTTGGTGTAGTATGAGCTATATTTTTATAAAAAGTTATCGAAAAGAAATTAGAATAAAAAACTTTGCATATATGTATGTATGTATTGCGACAAATTCTCCGTGCCAATACTTTTGTTCATCACTATATACATAAATAAATATTTTTTTAAATGCTAGTGCCGTTTTTGTAGTATTGTCGAATAATTCGGTTAATGAAAAATTAAAAGATAAAAAAAAATTATCGAAAGTGAAGGATTTTTCTTATTTGATTCCCGTAAGTTAGGCTATCTGCACACTTGTCGTCCAATCATGGTTGCGTTAACGGCTCGCCTTGAAACTTTGAGCCGAGCACATGCATTTCAATGGAGCTCTACACACTTGTCGTTATTGGCTAGTTGTCGGCAAATCGTAGAGGATGCAGAAACAGATAAGTACGACACTAGAAAATACCTGCTCTAAGCGAATTTTTTGTGGCAAATGAATTGAAATATCATGACCGAGTGTGCGAAAGTGAAGTCGCCATGTAATCGTTGCATCATGATTGTGACGATGAAGAAACTGTGACTGGACGTCCAGTGTGCAGAAAGCCTTACTTTCATTGCTTGAAGTCGCGTCGTTATTGAGTTCATTAAGGCTAGATAAGATGAACGAACTCTAGAATAGTATAATAAATATAATCATTTTCTTCGAGACTTTTCACATTTTGCTCAGATTTAACTTCGTTTTACAAGGCAAGTACTATTTATCGAATACTCGCACTGTAAAAGACGGGGCATATTATTTCTAAAAACTAACCAACAATAAGTGTAGCACAATTCGGTTTAGTTGCTGATAAAGTGAAAAAAAATAAATAAATTTTTTTGAACATTGACTTTATCTTTGCTTCGATGTCTTTTCCTCTGACTAAGAAGATTTTGATTCCTATTTTGTATTTGCTTAAATTATACTAAAATTTGATTATATTTTTATTAAATTAAATTTAATTATATCCTGATTTAAATTTTGATTTTTTTAGTTTCATTTGAACTTCGACTAAACAATGTCGGTCATGATTTCTACTCAAACTTTTACTTCAATACTTATAATTAAGTTTTGATATGACTTTAGTTTAGACTTCGATTTTAACATAAATACATGCGGGAGAAGTTAACTCTGCTCTTTAGGTTTAAATAAGATTTTGACTTAGATTCCGATTTTGATTTTGACGTAAAGTATTCTTTCCTAGTTTAAGTCGTAAGCTTTGATTTAACTTTTATTTTGACTCTCTTCGGACTTCGAATTCAGCTTTGGAATTTTCTCCGTATTTTTGTTCTCAAATTTGACTTGGCTTTGATTTTAACTCTGATTGGACTTCGAATTCTGCTTTGCGTTTCAAATTGAAATTGATTCGGATTTTGACTTTTTAAGTAATAAATTTTGATGTTAATTTCGAGTTTACTTCGAATTTCATTCCGCGAATTTTGGGTCGACTTTTACTTTGACCATGGAACTATCTTTAAGTAAGATTTTGACTTTAATTTTTAATTTAAAGATCTTTTCTTTGAGGTCGTATTTTTATTTGTACTCTTACTAAGTACTGTTTGTACTTATACTAAAGCTTGCCTTGACTTTAATTTCAACTTGGGACTTTTGACTTATATTTTGACTTTGATTTTGTATCTTACTTGGTTAGTTTCGTTTTAAACTTCACAAACTAAAATTTGAAATGAACTTTGAATCTGTTTTTTTTTTTTTATCTGAACCAAATAAAGAACTGGAATTCTAGCTTTTGTCTTTATTTTAAAATTACTGTTTATCGAAACTTTTAGAACAACTAGGAGTTTAAGCTGTCATTGTATAGATCGTAAGTGCTTTCGAGTTGAAATCCTGAATATTTGCGCATTCACAATTTTATTTTACCAACTGTGTTTTAGTTTTATTGCGCGCAGCCTTTTACGTGTCATTACCTCTTGTATGTAGAACTTTCTCAATATGACAGTTAGGTAGTAGAAAATTTCAACTATTGATATCAAACTTATACCAACAAATAAACTGAAGGCACTGCCCAAATTAGCTGAAATAATGAAAGGTGACATAACTAGCAACAAAGATATTTAAAATGATAAATAAACTTAGGTGCTTACAAATCAGAGCCAGCATATTTGAGAGATGATATCGCCTTAAACGCCGATATATTTGACTGTTAAAGAAGATATGAACTACGGAATGATTGCTTTGAATACCTTTGCTGTAAACAGATAAAAAAAATGTTAAAAAAATAAAATAACTTTTTATCCAGTAGTTATAAATGTGAATAGCTTACTAGAATTCATCCACCGTTGGGACATCTATCCATAGCTCCGAATTCGTCAGTTCCACATTAAAATCCATTAATTCGCAACTATTCGGGCAAAGCGAGCTCGAAGCATTAAATCTCCCTATTATAGATCCTACAAATTTAATTACAAATGCAATACTAATAAAAATCTAAACAAAGATTTTATTTGCTACATGGGAACTAACCAAAATTGCTCACCAAACACGGGATATCTTTGAAAGAACACACACGTTGCTCTGTACGATTTGAGTAAAAGAAAAACGTAAGACAACCACATGTTTCAATCATATTTTGCGCACGGAATTCCGCCTCACAATTGTTGCCGGCATATCTTGCAAAATATTTGAGTGTAAACTCATGCGGTAGTACACATTGACGCTCTTCTATCGAAAGCTGTTTAACAGCCGATGAGCAATAAGTCTCTATCGGGCGAATACCCAGAAAATTTTCTTGTTTCGGTGATACGAATTTAATAATAGAACCAGCGCTGGGAAATGCATCGTTTTCAGTGATCAGCACCTTGAAGCCAACTGAGTTTTCTTGTACATCATATCCAGTGCCATTTTGATGAAGTATTATGGAAAGACCATCGTAGAGACCTGAACGTGTGTGAGCGCCCGTATAGTTGAGACTGGGAAGATTTTATGTGAGTATGAAAAGAGTGTCAGCAATATAATTTATGGGTTAAATAGAACTATGTATGTATAGAGAAAGAATTACAAAGCGGTACTAGTGCACTTACCCTTCTAGGTTGAGATTGAATGAGCAACAATAGCCAAAAACGGTGCGTGATCTTTGGAAGATCTGCATACAATCCACAGATTGCCGTTGAAAACGGCAGCGGAAAAATATATCCTCACATTTCCATTGCAAATTTCCAATGAAATCCTGAATAGTTATGTTATTCAAGTCTATCAATGTTTGTAGCAATTCAATATACCCAGTAATAGGCTTATTGTCGTCATTTAGGAAGCCATACATAATGCTCAAGGAGTTCAAAATTTGAGTAATATTGGAACCGGAGGGGAGGTTTCTGTGGAAATCATCTATAATTATTTGTGTGATATTAAAAGTTTAAGAAACAATTATTTTTAATTGGATCGCTGGAGCGGACCATCTTGCCCGCGGGCAAAGCTCTCATTTTCTTTAGGCGCGTGCAGAGTATAAGCTCTCTCTGCCCGTCGCTGAATTAGATACTTGTTTGACTCTTGAAAAATACTCTCTCCGTTTTGATAACCCAGCCGAACTTTTGAATACTAAGTTGAATACGTTTCCAAGCATTGTATATAGAGGAATTATACAGAAACGAAGGAGTAAATGTTTCATTTGGATCTGTATCCATTTTCTATAAACGAAATATATGTGGGGTAATATACATCCAACCGAACTTTTTCCGATTTTTTCCGATGTCGTCGTTAAGTGTATTAAGTGCCTATATTGGGGAAAATGACACGAAATTAAGTTGAATACTTTTCCAAACACATTGTATATAGAGGAAGTATACTGAAACAAATGGGTGAATGTTTCATTCGGGTCTGTATCTGTTTTACATAAATGAAGTACATGGATTGTAAGTTAGCCGAATAGTATGACTCCGCATTTCATTGGTATATGCAAATTGCCTAGTGGACCTTTTCAATATACCCTATATACCGGTATAATATTACACACATTTCCCATACACTTTTAATTTGAAACCGTGTGCAAAGTTATTTACTTATCTGTACACTTGGTGCTTTAAGTATGTATATTAGGCACTAAGTTCCCGCACGAGTACAACTGCCAATGACATTAGTAACGAAAAGTGTATGAGAGTTGTATATGGAAGACTAGAGTACTCGGTCATGCTTTGAGTATAGTAGGTATGTGATTTCGTGTTGTATACAGGTCCCGCTGGGAGTTATTCCTCACACACTCAAATGAGCAATGTTCATGAGTGAAAGAGCGATGCCGTGGCTAAAGGAGAGTTGAAATACACATTTACATATGAATGTCTTTTATTTACATCAGTGACGATCAGAGAGGTCTTTCACTTCATCTGTGTACTTATAAATGTCACGAGCAAACATTTTCGTCTGAAAAATTAGATTTTTATGCACCCGCCATGTGCAAAAGTAGTCTCTGATCGTCGCTGTCGCATACAATTTATAATTTCACGAAATTATGAGAATAATTAGTCCATACTTACAACGCCTCTAGATATCGTTTTGTCTGTGCAACATTATATAATACTTCAGGACAGATGGTTACCGCTGGAAAGGTTAGACTCTCAACTGGAGCGGTATCCTTTTCAATACTCATGCGTGTCGGATTGCTGCGATAGTCGAGATAAAATGTGATTACCATTGTAATGGCGCAGGCGAGCATAGCTAGAGTAATGAGCAGCCAAACGAAACTAAAATATGGAGAGAATAAGCTTTAGTGTTTCTTTTTGGTAAACATAATTCAAAATTAAAAAAAAAAAACTAAATTGCAGAAATATTTGTTAGTTGTGCCCTCTACTTTTCAAAAAACGTCGCCCCATCCTATATTCCGCAGAAAGTTTGAAAGTTCTTTTTAAAGTCTGGAGTGTATGTACTCAGCTTTTGCCTACATTGAGCCTTGACTATATTCTTTCGTTTTTTTTTGGAAACGTTCTTACACTTAATAGATAGGTGCAATTGTGTCCCTTTGGCTGAGTCGTAGACCGGCGTTATCGGCCCATTTTGGGGATTAAAAAAAAATTGGAGAGAAAATTTGTTCCTCGGCTATGTGGGTACATTCAGGGATTTTATTGCTGCGGACGTGAACTTTTTACAGATTTATTTTTCCTTGAAACTATTAAGAATGAAATATAAAATTAAAAAAATTATAAATTTTTCTAATCAAAATGGGGTTTTATGCAAAATACCCGACAACACCAGTGGTGCCCTGTGGCGATGCCGGTGATAATTCTTAATTTATTTTTAGGGAGGTTAGTTAAAAAGCCCTATGGCTGAGTAGTTAGAGGTGCATACCACTCAGGGTTCGATCTTTGATCCGATCAACATCTCGGCGTATTTCTGACATGAAAACGCTGCTCAGAAAACCATTTGCCGCTCGGAAGCGGCGTAAAATTGTGTGTTTTAACATCGGTACGCAAACCGTAAATTTAGGGAGAAGCTCGGTCAAACACTTAGGGCCCTTACACCATCTCCGGTTAACACTAATCCAAAGTTAAACATTGTTACCGACTCAATTTTAAATGAATGGAGTCAGTGCCGTCGGTATCGATGTTTAACTGGGGATTAGTGTTAACCATAGATGGTGAAAATGGCCCTTAGCAAAAGACTAAGCTCCAAAACATTACTACTATTATTATTATTAAAAGCCTGTATCTCTTTAGGTTGTGCTGGAGTTCTTCCCTGATTATGTTTGGGATTACTGTGAGAAATGGCTCAGGCCTTGGCGAAGTTGAGACCGCTGTATTCCTGACGAGGGCGTCTGCTACCTCATTCCTCTTTAATCCAGTGATACTTTAGTATTATTTTTTTAAATATTTGTTTTTGTTATTTTTTGGCCTTATAACAATTATATTCAACAATTTATATTGAGCTCGAGGCCGTTTTTTAAATGAAAATTTTTTGTTTTGGCATAACAAAAATGAAAATAGTGTAAGAAAGCAAACGATAATTTACAAGGCGTACTTAGCACGGTGCATAGGCAACTGGCTGAGTCAGTGGGATCGTCGCACAGAGGGTTGAAATCCATCAAAAGTGGCGATTAATTCAAAAGATGAACTTTAACTTTCACAACCGTATTTGGTACCGGGTGAAAGAAGATAAAATTCTACATCACTAGTTGCCAAAATAAAAGTTCTTAGTTGTTTACTTCATTTGCAGTGTGTCTTCAAAGTTCAGTAATTATTATTATTTTTGCGCGCATTGGTTAAAAGTGAAAATTTGTATACCTCAAGTGATTATTTTTTTAATTAAGACTTCTAAAAGTGAAAGTTTTATTATGGAGCCGTCAACTTCAGGTATTTGAGCATATGATAAACATTTGTTTGTTTAGATAAATGTTTTGGAAATAAAAAAAAAAAAATAAATGAAATTGGTCCAAAAATGGGGTATTTTTGGTGTTTATATTGAGTTTCAACAACTTTCCGGGTGAAATCGGGAAAAACCGCTTATATGCTCTTGAAGTATGATATTTCAGCTAATAAATCCCAAAAAATCTTTTTGCAGTTGTTTGCAATTTTTTGACTTATTAAAATTTTTGTAAAAGAACTCCAGTTGCAAAAAATCTAAGTGAAAAAAAAACAAACAAAAAAGCGCGTTGTTTTTATTGTCTTTTGTCTTTATATTCCGTTTAGTAGTTGTTATTGAAGCTACAGAGTGTGCAGTTTATTAGAGATGGGTGCGTGACTAATTTTAAACCACGCGCACTCACGAAAAAAAAAATTAATTCCGGTTTATTCACAACGAATAAAATTTTTCACATATTTTCTGACATCACAAGTTTGAATTTCACTCACGAGCGAGAAATTATGTCGTAAATAGTTAATATTTATTTTATTAAAGCTTAGTGCATAAATACTTAGAGCTTAGTCACTATAAAAATAAATTTAGTCACGCTTCCATCTCTACCCTACGTGATAAATGTTGGTCATGTACATACATGCGAACATACGAGTACTGTTGTCATCTTAACTTAAGTAATGAAATGAAGTAAATAAAAATACCTTACAATTATGTTTTTTTTTTTAAATATTTTTTTCCTGCAATGGTTGTTTGTTTTATTTTTATATTTTGTTTATGAATATTTGTCAATAAGAAATAATAATATTTTCTAATGTAACTTTTTTAAATTTGTGGAATTATGGAATTTGAAGAAAAAAAAATCGGATTTTAATTTAAAATTTTGCTAATTTAAATACATATTAAATATTTATTAATTTATATTTTTCAAAAACACAATTTTTTTCTAAAAGCACGTTAAGTAAGCTCTAATTTTCAATTGCATTTACTAATTTATCGTTTTTCTTTCCAAACTTATAGCGAAAATTGTGAAATAAGACCTTTTTTTCCAAAATACAAAAAAGCCCATAAAAGATTAAAAAAAAATTTTTTTTTATTATTTTTTTTTTTTAATTATGTTTTTTTATGTATTTATGAATAACCATCAATAAAAAATAATAATATTTTAAAATTACGGCTTCCCTGAATTAATCGCCACTTTGCATACCGTTCAACCCACTGTGCGTCGGTTCGAATCCTACTGAAAGAAGTCTGATGAGGAAATGTGGTGATTTCCGAAATAGCTATCACTTCTACCATTTTTTCAAATTATTGTTGCTTTTCCACAATAAATTTTCATTTAAAAAACGGCCTTCAGCTCAATATAAATTGTTGAATTTTTTTAAATAGATAATTATCCAATCACTTACCGCACCAATTTGCCTGTATCCCTATCTTGCGTATATTTTAATCCATGTATGCTGCTGCAAGTACAAAATTCCTTCCAAGTACGCTTGACCGCAGCATAAAATGGCGATACGGACTGGTCGATGTCATTGAGTCTTAGCTTTGCAGCGCCCATAGTGCTGTGTTATACAAGTAATATAGATTTTTACTTAAAATTTATTTAGTTTATTTCATTTAAACACTCAAAAAGCGACTACAAAGTGCATTCATTAAGGTGGTCAAAATATGCACAGTAGTTGTAAAAGTTGGTTACGATTTTTTCATATCGGTTCGAAGTTGTAGATATAAGGTCCAAAAATGATTTTAAATTGATAAACTTTTTTACTTAAGAGAAAAAAATTACGAGCACACTATGCGTATGGCATTATGAGGTCTTGGATCTCCACCTTCAAACAGACGAAGAAAATGTACCTTTATCAAATCAAAATATAATATACATATCTTCATCTGTTTACTACTTTTCCTTAATTTATTTATTTTTGAATTTTCACCTGAAAGTTTTCTCTCTGTTTTCTGTGTCCGCTTTAGTCTGATTTTTAACACGAAATGCGTTTCTCGCTTACCATAAATCTATTTCTCGCTATGTTTTATGCCAAACGAATATAACACTCAATTAAAATCGCATCAATTTCTTGTAAAAAACACATGCAGTCCATTGCAGCAAAAAAGTGGGCGGTCAACAACGTTTCCATAACAGCATATCCCATGTCATAGCACGCGTTTAGGCGCACAGTAAACATCGAAATATTCTTAACACAAACAGAAAGGTCTTGCGATATATCCAAACACATACTCAAACGTTACCCAGCCAAAAATTGTGCGGCTATTCTCTAAAGAGAGGATTCGCGGATTAGACCTCGAGGTACTACAATTCGGCATTAATTAGTCTCAAATCATACAAGTATTATAGGAGATCAATTAATCCCCGAATCACCCCTTACGGGATAATGGCATAAAAGTGTTCTAGATATTTCCGCCCTCGCGACGGTGCTGAGTGTATAACATAAGTGTAGGGATCCAAAGCCCTTCCAACAATTTTCCAAGCACTTGGAATAAAAGGATATACAATTCAGGAATGCTCGTTACTTGTCTCCCACAATTTTTCCGCATTCAAATAAGTATATTTTTAAGTTATTTACACATTAAAATAATTCTATAAAAAACTTGCGATTTTGGACGGGGTATAGGAAAGATATAGCTTAAATTTTGGCTTAAGAAAGCTATAGAGGTTAACATTTCAATTACGTTTATCGATCTTCATCCATTCTTCAAAAAATTCTTAACTTGTAATTTGATGAATACGCTCTGGAAAAAAAGTTTTATTCCTCTGCGTTGTATAAAGTGCATTTTTTAAAGACAATAGTAATGTTGCTAGGATATATTCAAAACCTACCCTTCATCGGGCTGTTACTTTCGGTCCTTAAAAAGTGTAAAGTAATATTAAAAAAAAAAATACAATTGTCTTCATATTTTCGAACCCTATTTCCAAAATACGAACTACGAATAAGATCCATTATTACAAATTTACAGAAAATTACACGCTTCTATAAGAGGTTTAATAAAAGTATGAAAAATCAACTAAAATATTTTTGAACTTCAGAAAGATTATGAATTAATTTTTGAACACTGCCAAAACCCACAGTAGAAAGTAGGACATTAAAAACTTTTCAGTAGGGCTTTGCGCATAACATTATGTTAATAAGTCCCGATTTTTAAGTAATCCGCGAATGAATTTTGTCCACATACATATGTATTTATACACTGTGAGATGGCTGTATTGCGGATTAAGCAAGCTGCGAGGTCGTGGGTTCGAATACAACGACAAGTAAATTTCCTGTCATTTATTCCTTTTCATTTATTTAGTTCCTTTAATTATCCTTAATTTTTTATTTTTAATTTTTAGTCAGACTGAGTTGCTTTGTTTGCTGACTTTTTCTTTCTTTCATACATAATAAACAACACCCGATCGTTTTGATCAGTGTGGTCATCGAAAACGCCGCCTATCTCTAGAACTTACTTCGGATCAACTGCATTCGCATAACTCGCGAGTTCTGTAATTCCAAAATAACGAGTTGATCAGTATCAACGCTGCCATCTTTGTATGCTTGTAGCATACCTGAGATCCCCGCTTGGAATCTTAGGATCCATGCTCATTCTGAAGAACTTTTGTTCTGATGATTTCTTCGCAACAAAAAAGACGTATTTGCTTGTTTGTTTCATATTATTTGTTCAGAAGAAAACGTCAGAACAGAAGTTCGTCAGAATACCCATGCATAGTAACCGTAGCCCTAGCTGGGGAAGAATTATTTTATTTTATTTATTTTTTTTTAAAGCGTCAAGGTGACACTGAAAACTTTTCTTAAAAATCATGCGAATATTGCCCCTTGTCTTTGGTTTTGACAATTTTTTCATAAAGTTTATACTTTCTTACGTATTTAAAAATGAATTTAATATTTACTTTTCTAAGGCACCTAAAAATGACACCTCTGGCAAGGCTTTGGCTGATTTTAACCTTTTTATTATGTCAAAATATTTCCGCAAGAATGTTCAGAAGTTGTCTGAACTAATGCACCGTTTTTGTAGCATGAATTTCCAATCGTTGTTCGTGATAAATTTATTTTCGTGGCTCTCGGTACAAAATTAAAAGGCTAAACTTTGTTATAATAATTGTAATCTACTAATGTTTCTTTTTTGTGACTATGTACGTATATTGATGTATGTAAGTACTTATTTAATTGTAATTTTGTTTTTATAATAAATGCAAAATATGCATTTTAAGAGAAGAAAATATATTTGCCAGAAAATGATGACTTCCATTAGCGATTTATGAAAAATAGTGTGGCATACTCATATCGTCGTATCGTCGTAGATTGTCGTATGTTACGCACGCACGTCTGACGCTTACGACAATCTTTTACCCAGGCCACGATATTTAAATTAAATAAAGTGGACTGTAAAGTTAGGTGCAGCTATTTTGATACATTTTCCATTGAAAATTATGTCAAAAAGCTATAACCAAGCTTAGAGATGATTTTATTTTGACCATGAATATGAACAATAAGTTTCGAAAGTTAAAGTAAAAGATTTGAATTACTAGAAGACACTTTTTTCGGCTGCCACAAATTTTTTTTGCGATTTCTGTATTAGTTTCATTTTCCATTGCGCCTAAGTTCGGTACTCATGCCAAAGCAGTCGCCTTTTATGCAGTGTATGCTGGGTTGGCTTTAGTAATGCTCTGCTAGCAAGTTGCATCTATAAATAAATGTGCTTTTAGCAAAGTTTTGAACCATTACTATTCGACTTGGTGTGGCGCTAATGTCACTTCAATTTTGTGCGCAGCCCCTGTTACTGCTTATGTGTGCAGTTCAGCCGTCAACTGGCATGTGCCGAAATAGCTCAGTTGGGAGAGCGTTAGACTGAAGATCTAAAGGTCCCCGGTTCAATCCCGGGTTTCGGCAGTCAATATACTTTTTTAAAATTATTTATATTTCAATTTCAATGAATGAAAAGTAAAATGAAAGAGAATTAGTTAATTCTCTATTTGCTTTACATATAGCGGTTATGTAGTGTGTTTATTTATAATCTACTCCGAAACCCTCGCACTTTGTTTATTATTCACTTTCGTTTGATGACGCTCGCAATTTGCTGGCAACAATAAAAATAGCACGGAGATCTGTTTACCATTTATAATTCGTGCTATTTAAGCGAATTGTTTTACGTAAGGTATTTAGTGGATTTCAATATGTCGGTAATTCAGCTGACATAAATAAATTCATGTTTGTATTTATACCGACGCAAAGTTTGATGCACTGCAAGACTATGGGGATGGGGGGGACACGCGTGCCAGGCCCGGATGTTTGGTACGGACGAAATCGCTGTACTACTTGATATGTCTCAAGTAAGTAGCTTACGTTACTGTCCTGCACGCTTTCGCAAAAGTTCAATAACTCTTCGCCCAAATGACTTTCAACATTGATTCAATTGACGCTTGTCAGTAGAAAATTTCAAGTGTGTGCGCTCTACAGTTTCAATTAACCCATACATTTGGCATTCAAAGCGATAATAAACAAAATAGCCGGAAAACACTCCTCCTTCGATGCAAAATGACGACCAGCGAAAGTAGGCGATTGGCATAACGGTTTCAGTATCAACGGAAAACGTGAGCGAAATAAGCTATAACATATGCGTGATAAATGGTTATTTATAACTTACAAAAAAAAAACATGAAACAATTAAATGTAAACACTTGTAAATCAAAATGTACGGTAGAGCAAATCATTCGTTCTAGATATGTGTACCAGGGTGGTCCAAAATTGCATGTGAAAAAGTTAGGTCGGAATATTTATGCTTTCATCCCCTATGATTGTTCTATACCGAAAAAATATACCCCTATTTTTTATTTTGAAATCAAAAAATATTTAGAGGTCGCTCCAATTTTTCCGTGTACGTACCTTTTTTATATGGGAAGAAACCACTTTTCGTAGAAATGGTCTAGAGTTCTTGAAAATCAATATTAATCGATCGGAAAATTCTGTTTCTCTTCAGCAGATCACCAGTAATAATACACAATTATTTATGTAAAAATTTGTTTATAGTAACTATATTTTATAGATCCGCCAAAACCACCAAAAATGCAATGGGGGATAAAAAAAAATTTTTGTATTAAAAAATGGTCAAATAAACCATTGGGTATTATTATTGGAAGCCTCCTGAAGAGACCCTGAGTTTTACGATCGAAAAATATTAAGTTTCAAGATTTCTATACCATTTCTAGGAAAAGTTGTTTTTTCCCATACAAAATACATGGAAAACTTTGAGTGCTTTGATTTAAAAATAAATAATAGAGGTATATTTTGTTGACATAGAACAATCCTATGAGGTGAGACAATTAAAATTCCGATTTTACTTATTTTGAACCACCCTACTGAATACACATATGCACATTTCCATGCATATACTACCGTACAAGCAAACAGTCTTTAATTTACCGGCACTGGGTTGGTACGTTGGGGTATTAGAATGGGGTAATGGACTTTAGAAAAAATTTCTCCCCAAAGCAAGAACGCGATATACATATCTACTTAAAGTTCCAATTAATAAATGCCGAAGATATAGCGAAAAATATAATAATGTGAGCCCCAGATTCGGCAAAATTTTTTATTCGATTTTTTGTTGTTGTATGGTTTAACACGCTTGTAGAATTCAGCAGGTTTTTTATGAATATTCAGAAAATGTATTTACACTAGTCACTGCCCTACCAGAAAATTTGTTGTAAGCATTTAGATTTCCTCTGTGAAATATCTTCAACTATAAATACCTTGCAAATTGTCGCCAATTTCAGATATTCAATATTATATAGGTAACACTTAAACAAATCATTAACAGCTATACCAGTTGGACGGCCAAGTAGCAGATGCTGAGAAGCAGCTGTTACAGTACGGTCTTGAGGAGATGTTGATTGAGTTAGCCAGTTAGGACCATCCAGCAGCCTCGAGGCATGCATCTTGTTTAGCTGCACGAGCTCTTTAAATTGCTTTCTTTCTTCCTGTGGTCCGATGAACTGAGCAACCTTAAATTCCTAGGTTTTCACCTAGCGCTCTCTAATCTGTCCAGTTGCCTATCCTTTTAAAAGAAGACCAAATAAGGGGAATCTCAGTAGAAGGAAACACTTCCATTTTTCATACCATCCAACTTTGATCCATCCGTAAATAAATGGGCTGCGCTCTGATTCCAAAGATTTTTCCTTGACGGAAAGAACTTGCCTTCCAGTCAGACCCAGCATCGGTATTTATTAGTCCGATAAGTCCGCATGAACTCAAAGCTTTTTAAAATTTAGAAGTGCTCATAGTTACTTCTAAGCAACGCCTCAGTATCTGATGGCGCCAGATTTCAAATAGGACAGGGCCTACCACTCTATTTAACCATGTAGATGTGGTGGTCTTATGTAGTGCATTCTACCATACGTAGTCCCTCTTAAACCGGGTCAAGTGACGGTTCTACTGATATGCCCTAATGTTAGCATAAATGCTCCCTGGGGTCCTGTTTTTGAAGTACAGTTCAATCATCCCTCCCAAGGTCTTTGATAGAAACATTGAAGGACTGATTGACCTAAAGTCCCTGGGCTAAGCCAGCGATAGCATGCCTCCTCAGATATTTCTAGCTGAGCAGGTATGAAGCGGTCGGGACCCGGAGACTTCCAAGTGCTGGATGAGTTTAATAGCCATGCGCAGGCTTTGTTCGCTCAATAAATTTAAGTTATCGAGGCACTCAGAACTCATGCTGACCCTCATTGGTTCCGAATGACTGGGAAAGTGATTACCAAGGAGTAATTCCAGTGACTCCTCCATGCTAATCATCCGATTTCCCGCCTCGTCCTGCAGATACCTCATGGGAATAGGTTGGCTCTTCTAATCTCTGATTGAAAACGAAATTTTACGTTGTTGGCAGTCAGAGCAAACCCACTTCTTGCATTCTTGAAAAGATGTCGACTTAAATCCTATATATATAAAGAGCTTTCTTGTCCACCAGAGCAATTTGGCCTTTCCCGTGTGAAAGATCAGAGGACGAGAGGCCAAATGTACATATAAGTATAAAAATTAAAGTATAGGCATTTCGTTTGTTGAGCACCGGTGCTGGAACGGATGGCGGTCTGTGAGGATACGATAATTCGCTTAGGATGGAAAGCTGCGAACAAGGCGTGGCTTCTTTGAAAGCGGCGGTGACTACTCCCGCAGTTTCAATTACCGTCGAGCTAAATGCTTGGAGTGCTGCAAGAAAGTAAGGAGTCTGCGTGAGCTGCGAATCCTATAAAGCCGTCCAAAATTTAAACGCTGCGCAGTGAAAAGTCCGTTTGACTCTTTGACTTACCTACGAAGAGTGGGTGCCCATCAAGCAGTGTCCGGTGGTTACCCCGACTACTAATCTGAGAGAAGAGCGGTCCAGTCGAGTGAGATCTATGCATCGCTTTACATCAATCCTTAGCCAAATTTGCAAGGTAGTGTGGCAGGTAGTTTCTGTAGCCAACTTCGTATTTACCTCCTCGTTTAGTTCGGCCTTTAGTCTGTGTGTACAGGAGGTTAGAGGTATGACAACATTTTGAGCAGATTTGACTTCAGATATTTCCGTCCCCCTCCTTCCCAGCTCATCGACCAAGCAGTTGCCATGAGTGTCCCTCTGACCTTGGACCACAACAACAGCCAGGAGCACTTTGATGCCAGCAGGTTGAGAGTCTTCCTGCAAATTGTGGCTACTTTGGACGTTGTTCCGTTAGATTTAAGAGATTCGATAACAGCCTGGCTGCCAGAATAAAAAGCGATAGGCCGTCCTGGAGAGGCGGAGGTTATGAGCCTCCGAGCGGCGTTTAGCTCTGCTTGAAAAACGCTGCAATGGTCCCGTAAGCGAAAACTGAGGTTAAGCGCGAGTTCGCCAGAGTAAATTCCCCTACCCACTCTTTCGTTAAGCTTGGACCCATCTGGGTTTAAGTCTGTGACGCTTTCCCATTCGTTCCTCTTTGGAATTCTTATGGAGAATTCGTTGTCTAAACAGAATAGAGGAGTGGCATAATCTAACTTTCCTGAAGCGGTCTTTAATGTTTCGCTTCCAGTCCAGTTTATTGTCTAGAATACCTCCGAGGTATTTGACCTCGGTTGAGAGAGTAAGTGCCACCCCGTTTAGGATGGGAGGTTTAAATAGAGGAGCTTTATATCTAAGAAAAACAACACATGTTTGGGTCTGGAATCTTTTTTGGAGTCTTTCTATTTAATTTATTGCATTTTTACATAAATCTCTTATTTTTTTTTATTGTTTTACTTTGCGCTTTCGCTTACATAAACAATTTTGGAAAGAGTGTCTTGTGTAGTACAAATTTTAAATATGGACATTTTTTTTTTACATTTTATCTTAAAATATAGATTGTCACTCATACTGATTGTTTTATAATCTGTTTCATTGTTTGGTATCCAAACTTATTTCACTGAATTTTTAGCATGTTTCTTATTCAAAAAATTAATAAACTTAAAGTTTTTATAAATAAAGTTCAATATGTATACTACAAAAAATTCTCGGTAAGAAAAAAGATTTCTCAGCAAATTGCTTTTAATACAGGTTCGCTTACAATTCCTAAATAGTGCTGAAGGCATACTCATCGATCTTCCTGTGGAAAACTTTTTAAATTAGGTAAAATAAGGCACAAAAAATGGTGAATAATTTACTCCAAAGGCTTCAACAGTGTGTGTATAAAATAAATGTTTATTTGCTCTTAAAAAAAATTAACTCTCAATAAATAAATTTTTATGGCCCACGGCCACATACAAAATTGCAATTGGATTGTTAAAAAAGCACCACTAAGCTGGCACCAATTCCGTATTATATACTTTCGATGTGTTGCATACTTTTAGCGGCAACTGTCTTTTTTCGTTCATTATGTTTATTATACGCTACGTGCCAACATGAAATTATGCCGACTTTAACTTTCACTCGGTTTTAGCTATATTTCTGGCTGAGTGGATTTTATCACGCTGACTATATGCTGCTGCATAATGTTTTTTTTTTTTAATCTTGGTACATTTTTAGTGTTACTAATACACATATACCTATTTATCGCACTTAAATTCACTATAACTTAGCGTTAAAAATTCAAAAAATTAAAAAATAAAGTCAATATTCTTAAACAACTAACTGTCTGCCTGTTTTCTACTACATAACTTGCACAGCTTTAAATCGCGAGCGTATAACCGAATTTCGAGTTGCTTCTTATTCTTAAACGCTCGAACGCTCATCACTTATTGTCCTGTTTCGCGTATATTCCCCGTCGCCGCAGCTAAACCATTGTCCACGCCAGTTAGAAAGCGTGGATGCGCACCATTCGTTGTCAGCGTCGTTGTTGCTGGCATAACAGATGCTACTGGTTCCTTAACGTCATTGGCTGGATTGTCCCACCATTGACGTTCACCGGAACCGAAGATGTTATAGAAAGTCGCGCAGAAAATATACACGAAGGCAGCAATGAAGAAGACGATCTGCCACTGACCCATGGTAGGCTAATGGGGAGAGAAAAAGAGAAGGTGGAAGGAAACTTGGTTAAGTGTGAACATGAAAAATTAAGGCGAAATTCGAGCCGACCGTCAACATGTCAGCAGCAGTTCTGAAAAGCGACACAGTTACGAGTTAATCAACTTACTTTATTATTAATTAAATTGCCAGCGGCAATGGGCGCCAGCAGACCAGCCAAGTTTGCCAAGCAATTTGTGATGGCCATCAGGAAGCCGGCAAAACGTGGCGATAAATCCAAGTGATTGATTTTGAAGCCAGAGTAGATACCACCGTTAAGACCCACGCCCACCGTGAGTATGGCAAGCGTTAAGGCACGGTCACAGCCAGTGTATGAGGCGAGAATAAGCGCAATACCAGGACAATATTGACCTATGGGGTGGGGAAAAAAAACGATAACGGTTAGATAAAATCGCTTTAAAAGCAAATATTTTAAGACCTCAAACTAAATACTCACCAATACTGTTGATAATCTTTCTTGTCGATGTGTGCGTGAAACGATTGGACGTGATCATCCAATCGGCAATCACCGAAATGAACATCGAGAAGAGCCACATAGCCAGATAGGGCAGCGATGACAGCAAACCGTTGGCCTTCAGCGAGAAGCGCAGCACTTGCTTCATGTAAGTGGGCAACTCTGTCATTAGCGTCTCATAGCCATAGTTGTGACCCATGTGGGCAAGCAGAATGGCATAGAAAGGCAGGCACTTGGCGATAGACTTGAAGGGTATGGCAGGTACCTGAAAAGTGTTCAATGAAGAAATAGTAGTAGTGAGAAGAGAATCAAAGTGAAACTACTAAACTAGTTTTCTATTGTTATCTTAAAAAAAAATATTCCCCACAAAAAGTGTGCCACTCACACTCACCTTTTGATCGCCTGTACCCCAAAGACTTGTATTGATGTACTTCTTTTCACGCTCATCGATGCGTGGATGTGATGAGGGATCCTCATAGACTAGCCAAAGGAAAGCTATAGACCAAACTGTGCCAACAGCGCCGAAAACATAGAAAATCGACGGCCAACCACCAGCAAAACCATACTCGGCCAACAGACCCGACAGCGGCATCGAAATAATTGTACCAAATTGTGCGCCTGCATAGACAGCGGCACCCATACGTGAACGCTCATTGGGTGGTATCCATTTGGCGAGTAACGCATGCGTACATGGCACAATGGGGCCTTCACCGAGTCCCTGTATAAAACGTATCGCACAGAGACCATAGACACCACCTTCGTAGGCGGCAACTGGCACGAGGAAGGCGAAAACCGAATTGAGCAACATACCCCAGCCGAGGAAGTTCATGGCGCCGTATTTTTTCGCTAAAATACCGAATGGAATCTGTGGAGAAAAGAGTGTGGAAAAATTTTTAATTGCAGTATAGAATTATGGATGAAGTGCAAGTGCTTACTGCAGTGCAGGGATTATTTGAGTGTGAAAAATGTTTAGAAATAAACTAACCTGCGTTATCACATATCCGTAGAAGAATGAAGATAAGATATAGCCCTGTAAACTTGAACTCCACGCGAAGCTGCCATCTTGTCCATTTTCCTGTTGGATGCAAAAAATTAAAAATTACATTAGCTATATTTGTAAATTGAAGGATTTTTTTTCGACTTTTTAGACTTTTCTTGAATTGAAATATCGGTTCTTCCAATAAATACAAATTTAGAACAAACTGAGGAGTGCTATCAACGCCTAAGCTTTCTTTAGTGCAGATTAGATGGTGAGCACGTTGAACGTAGTGCGGATCTTCAGGGTCAGGTTAAGTTAAACAAAGAAATTGCTCATTTTGACGGGCCTAAGCCCTGCAAACGAAAAGAAAGTAAATCCGCAGAAGAAACGCTGGCTGTTCATAAAGAAAATCCACTAGCTGCTTGTCCCGTCACAGGTTTTATGAAACACAATCTGAGACTCTTAAACCGTGGCCTCCAAAAAGCAGCGTATTTAACAAAATTAGCTTGAGACGTTCGTATAACTTTATCCCTCAAACAACAGTACCTATAGTTCGTGTGAAATAGTCATATGTCTTGACTGTTGGGCTCCCACTCGTCAGTGTCCGATCAGACTCTTCTTAGTATCGAGGGTTGCTGCTCAAGTATTTCAAGAAGCTTCTTCAGCTATCTGCGGTTCGCCAGAAGCCAGAAAAATCTTGAAACCTTGCATTAGGAGAGTTTTGCTGAACGCTTGCTGAGACAATTTAAAGCCTATATCGCCAAGAGTAGCCCGTAGGCTATGATAAGTAACTTCTATACCTTGTTACGCGAAACAATCTCGACGGTGACCTGCCTTATTAACTATTCAGGAATGTAGAGGCGCTTATATCAGTCTGATTTCGAAATATTCAAAACCGACCTAGTCAGAAATTAGACAGTTTAGGACTTATAACCTAAGTTCCCAGTTGCGCAATGCTTATCAGAATATAACAGTGTTGAACTCTCAAAACGCTGCGGAATTCTGAAAGTCTACACTGGTGGTTGACTTAGAGCTCTTGACAAAAAAACCTCGACTCATCCGTGAATACATTTAATGGGCATACGTCCTCGTGAAGAGAAGTATCCACCAAGAAGTCAGAGTTTCAAAAAATTGTCAACTGTCTAAAGGTTGGTTAGTGGCGGGCGCGCCCTAAATATTAGTATGAACGAACTTGTGTTATTCACCCGAAAGAACAAGTTCCCCAAAAGAAACAGTTACTTCGATTAGAAGGATTCGTCTGCTGCTTTGCGACTTGGTCTTAGATAGGAAGCAGTCGGGGAAACCTAACATTGAGCATAGGGAGAGGAAGGCATAACCTTATATTACTACAGGCAACCTATTGTTAAAGGATCGGATATCTCGACCAAAGTTAGTTCTTGTCCCTATATGAAACTCTCGTTTATTGGAATTCTTAGGGAATCCGTATGCCTAAGAATCTCAGTGTCAATACACGGTAAAATTCTTGAGAGTTCCGCTACTTACACGGATCACTGTGCCGCCTAAATGGCCAAAAGCAGCTCTTTCTCTATACACATTACCTGAAGATATGAGAAAGGTAGGAAGCAGTGAAATTTATCACGGTTGGGTAGTCGCTTGATGGAAGGTCTGATGGAGGTCTAATACCATTAGCTCTCCATCAATATCAACTTTAGACTTTCAGTCGTCTGTAGCGCTTTTTAGACGGATGTGGTTGCCGTTAAAGACTCTCTAGATGCACTTATTAAAAGTGTGACCTCAATAAGGCAGGCATTGGCGGCGAAGGGTACACTTAAAATCATATCAGCGGAAAGGAAGCGAATGAGAGCGCCACTGACTATTTGTGGTTTAGTTGGTCTGCTTCAGTATAATGTCAACTCAGCGAAAGACGGTGAAGAAAAATAGGCTATGCGCAATTGCAAAGCTCTGACTAGATCGGGCGCTGTCAAAGGGGCTCTTTATGCTCACTATGCAATCGGACACACGTAAGACTGAAAATGACGTCTCATCCTTGCTACCACAATTGCCTGATGGATAAATACACTTTCCAGTAGCGTGTCCAGCTTTTGCGAGGCTAAGATTGGAGTATCATGGATGAGAGAGTGGCGCCTTATGTAGAGAATCCGTTCAACAAAGACTAAAGATGAAGCAAGAAAACTATGCATTTCTTGGTTACGCGCCTGATCTTCCGCTTCAATTTGTTACATTTTCGTTTTCCAAATCTGAATGACAATTGGATTCTTTGAGAAGACTTTTCTTGGAAACAATTTTCGAATTTTCTCTATGAAAAGCACGACTGCTCTAAAAGCGCAGTCACAGTTAGAGTATTTTTAAGCTCTCAATTTCGAATAATTTCGGTTTCAATAAAACTTTCATTAACCAACATGCATTACTCACCACCACAGTCAGATTTTGATCTGGACACTCATCGTCTACGACATCTTCATTACCGCTGGAGATGGCTGTATGATTGACCATAGCCACAATAGCCACAGACATATTTGTACGCATCACATAGGCATTGGCCATGCCCAAGAAGAGCATGAAAGTAACAAAATAACGTGTGGAGAAACATCCTGAAATGGTAGAAAGAAAATAAGAGAATTAATTAAAGCTTAAAGCAAAATTATTTAGTGACAAAAGGGCAGAATAAAAATACATTTAGTATAGCTAAAAATGGCATTCCAGAATAACTGCAAAGCCTTATAATTGACATGTGTATAAAGTAGTTATTAAACTTAACTTAAATTATAAGTATGTAGTCGCTAATTGAGAGGGGTAAAAACATCTTTTATTTTGTTTGCAAGTTTTTTTCTGAGGAAATCGTTTGTAGGCATCTTAGATACATGGAAAAAAACGCAAGTCGTTAATTGGACGTTCAATTTACATATTTATCGTTTGAGCGGCATAGTCGGCGCCTTGGCAGCTACAAATCTCAGCTGAAGTGCTAAAAGCTTGCAAATTAGCCAAATCGTGCTGCTCCATCATACATGTAGAAGTGTAATTTTTGATATTTGTGAAGATCATGATAGGCAAGTGAACGAAGAAGGCTAAGTCCAGGCTTGAAAGAAGTTTTCATACGAATTCGGATAGTTCTGTGACAGTTTTAAGACTCTCGAGGTCTTCAAGGCTTTTCGAAAAAAGAAATTCTGTACGATTTATTATTTAAAAATTATTTTTGCATTTCTCAAAACATTTCTAATTTCCGGCTATGGATCGCAGTCGCGCAAAAGCGTCACTGATCTTAATCAAGACAAGTGTATTTCCTCTGAAAATACTAAAGGGATTTTCTAGCACTGCGCGTGTAGCAGATTGACAAGATGATTTCCACGAAATGATGGATTTAATATAATTAAATAGACATACATATCTGCACACATACATACATATTTAAGTACTAAGTTTTGCGCTGCGCTTGTTTGAATGCTCAATGACAAGCTATTAATATTTTGCAAAAATAGCACAGAGCAATTGAAATTTTGCACATATTTGGCATGTCTGGCAATTGTGTGGCAAACATATTTTTTGGCACACATTTTTTTTTTTCGAAAGTGGAACTTATATTAAACCAAAAATAGCTCCACGCGCCTTACTGAAAATAAAACTTTAAGTTAAAAAATTTTCAAAATCCTTCCAGGCGCAGAATTCTCACAGGACCCGGATTTGACCGAAAATTAAGTTGGAAAATAAAAATTATAGTATTTTGCCAAGTTTATAAATTCAAATAAATTTGAAAGCGGATTTTAAGCGCATTCGTAAAAAAAAAAACAAAAATATGGGGCCCTGCATATGACTAAATTAAGTCAACCGTTGCTTCTAAAAACTCAGCCAGAGTCGTTTACATTTAGCCAAATCTCAGCTTTTGCTTATGAATAAAGCTATGCCAAATGATTCTCAAAAATTTTGGTCGATCGCGAATTTTTCAAAATGAAAAGACACGAACGAAAAATAAAACTATCTACACTGGCAAGCAAAAGTGAGTGCATCGTGTTTTTTGTTTAATATTTGCAATGTTTTTCAAGTTAGAAATTTCTTTGTTTTCTTTTTTTTTGTAAAAATATGGTTCATGCTTTAATCTAAACCACATAAATCAAACTTTCAAACTTTATACAGAACGTAGAAAAATTCAAAAATTTTTTATATAAATTTTGAACTTTTTAATCTGAATTTTTAGAAAAATGCAGATAGATCGGTTATGTAAATCTAGTGAAACAAGTGAAAGTTTTAAGCCGCTAAAAAATCCCGTTGATTTTTAATGAATTTTTTTCCGACGCATTTTGCGGTTTTATGCATATGTATAACAATTGCAATTTATAAAATATTCCGTTAATTTTTTAAATTTTGTTTGCAGATGATCTTGTGCATTTTATTCTACAAGAAATTTCCTTGTTTATGATAAAAAGTGCAAAAAGCCGTCAGCAATAAAAAAATCATTAAAAATCAAGGCGTTTTTTTAGCCGCTTAAAACTTTCACTTGTTTCACTTGAATTACCAAATACAAAATTTTTCTAAAAATTCAGATAAAACAGTTCAAAATTTAGATTAAAATTTTTTGAGTTTTTCTACATTCTGTATAAAGTTTGAAAGTTTGACTTACATATGTGGTTTAGATTAAAGCATGAGTCACATTTTTATAAAAAAAAACCAAAAAAAATTTAGCTTGAAAAACGTTGCAAATATTTGAAATAGAAATTGAATTTTACTTTAGAACGCCAGTGTATGTACATATGCATGTCTTTATGTCCCAGCCCAATATTTGCCTCACCAACTTCAAGGCTGACATCAAAAATATTAACAGCTTACTACTGTTGGTTACTTAACATTGACAGGCTCGCAGCTCGTACACTTAAAATCATATTTTACAGCCCACATATAACTGAAAGTTTATCAGAAAAACAATTGGCTTCGATTTAATTAAGTGCTTAATTAATGTGATGATAAGATACAGACATATGTATGAACACAGTTACCTACATACATAAGCATTCAAGCAATAACAAAAAAAATAACACAAAAGAAGAGGAAAATGAACTATCAACGAAAGTACTGCGAAAAATTCTGTAATCAGCAATACAACATAAAATTAATCGACTGTCACAGTGAGTGAGTACTTAATTTTCTCTAATAAATATTAGACATTAAGTGTGAATATAAAAGCGTTTTTTTTTTTGGGCTAAATGTTTGAGCTTTTAGTGTCTGTGAATTTCCGCAGACGTCAGTACTCGTGCGATATGTATGTATTGTATTTAGTTGAGCACACGTGCATGACCGCGCCAATGGTAATGGAAAGCAACAAGCGACATGAAAAACGATACATAAATACATTATCTACGCTGTTGACAATAGTGAAAATTCTTGAATAAAGAAGGCAAAAATAAGACGTGAAAAATGAGCAGAGTAGCAATTAAAGGAAAGAAATGTGCTACGTATTTATGTATGTAACTGTCACTTTTTGTCTACGCTTAGCTCAGCATGTCGGCCGATTTTGTAAATATTTACTTGTTTTTCCGTCTACGGTAAAGGGAAATGCTGGCTTATGCAGAAAACAAAAGTGTGGAATTATTGAGTTATGTGCATACATATGTCTGTATTTGCAAGAAGACTAGTGTACGCAATGCCTGAATGGCGTTGATAAAACATTTTCAGACTTACCCAAGGAGAAACGGAAAACTTTTATTTTTTTTTGGCAATTTACCATAAACATGGAGTATTACTACAAAAATCTTATCGCTAGCCATTACTAAAAATTCATAAGAAGAATTTATTTTAATTAATTTTTTTATTAAAAAAAAATTAAAAAAAAAATATTTTATTACATTTTTCTACCAAACGAAATGATGTAAAGCAGAAATTTTGAAATGCGAATTTATTTTTCTTTACGATTTTTTGTTGAAATAATAAAAAAAAAAATCGTTTTTCAAAATTTTTCTACTAAACGAAATGATGTAGGTGAGAGCAAATACTTTTCTTAAAATGCGAATATCTTGTAGATATTGTTTTTTGCTATGGATTTCAAAAAAAAACTAAATTTTTTATTGCACCATTTTGAAAGTTTTATAAGAAAAATGCGCACACAAAAAATATGTATGTAGATATCTGTTTTAAAAAAAAAACATTTTTCATTATTTTTATATATTTTGCTTTATTAGGCCTCAAAAAAGCTCTTAAAAAAATTGCGAGTAATTTTCAAATACTTCTCAAAAAAAATGAACTTTTGAGCTGTTTTATTATTATTATTATTTTTTCTTAATTTGAATATGTTAAAAGAGAATTTCATTTTATTTAAAAAAAAAATAAAAATAAGTCAAAAGTGCAAATATTGTCTGTAAAATATATGTATATAATTTTTTTTTTTACTTTCAAGACTTACAATTTAACGGAAAAACTGATTCATTTTTTTTTTGTTTAATTGCCTACTTCATAAATTGAAAGTTATATTTTTTATATTTGTGAAAAAATTCGAGGAAATTTTATTACACACATTTCGAAAATAGTGAACATTTTTTTTAGCTCAAAAAAGATTTAGCTCAAATATTTCATGCTAATTTTTATAAAAAAAATCATTTGTGGAAAATAGTATTAAATGTATGCTTTGAGAATTTAAATGTCTTTAATCTATAACTGTTATAAATTTATGACCTTATTAAAAAAAATTAATTAGATTCATAAAGCCCCTCGGCAGGCAATGGTAAACCTCCGAGTTCTGCCATGAAAAACAGCTTCTCATAAAAATACAATCGCCGTTCGGAGTCGGCTTAAAGTTATAGGTCCCTCCCTTTTGTGTGGCAGCATCAAGGCGCTTACCACAAATCGTAGGAGAAGATCGGTCAATCTATTAATAAGTGACACTTTCATACAAAATTTTTGATTTCTAAATTCTTCTGATATTTGAAGATTAAAAAATGCTTCATAGTTAAAAGCCGCAAACTTTGACTAAAAGCTTCCTTCAAATTGTAAAGCTTTGCATTAGTGTGAAACAATCTCTGCAACAATGCATTTTGCAAACGTCATGAACATAAAAAAAATACGCTAAATACTGGGGTGGAACAAACACAAGGTAAATTACGCCAAAGTCTCGTGCAAACCGGACAAATCTAAAGAAATCATGCGAGTGCGGGGACTCTAATTACATATGCAACTACATATAAATTTTAAATACCTATAAATACTACAAATATACATATGCAAGAACATTAGGGTACATCACTCTCCGCACATAAAAATCGATACGCTTTTTCCAGCGAAATAATAAAATTTATAATATTATTTTAAGACTTCTGCCAAAATATTTCGGTGGATCAGTAAGATTTGCGTGAGCTGGGCCGATTGAAAATACATCCAATAATCAAGTTGTTTATAAATAAAATTAGTTTTAAAAAATAACTTTTTCAATAAAATCTCCCCAGCTGATAGAAAAGTTTAAGCTCAAAAGCTCTGCTTATTTTGTTTTTGGTTATTGGCTTTTGGATTTTGATTATTATAATTTTTCTGCATAAAAAAGTTGAAGCTCAAAAGCTCTGCTTACTTTGTTTCTGGTTATTGCCATTTGAATTTTAAATTATGAAAAAATGTTTAA